TGTTTATATGTATATAAGTATAATTTTACATATATATAAAATGATATATATCACAGGAGGCACATGTGATGATTGTTGGTAATATACCAATTAAATTTATTTCATCTTAATAGTTAGATATTTATTGCAAAAAATTACCAGCACTTCCAACTTGGGATTTATGACTTTAACGCCTTTCAACAAATACATTTCTTTTTTTTTTTTTTTTTGGTACTGGGGATTGAACTCAGGTCCTTCCGCTTATGAGGCAGGTGGTGGACCCACTTAGCTAAATCCCCGGCCCACAAATACATTTCTTAAAAGTAAAAAAAATAATATGCATGTAATTTTCTCTTCTTTCTTTCTTCCTGCCTCTCTTTCTCCTTCCCTCTTTCCCTCCCTTCCACATTTCTGTTTCTCTATTTCTCCTTCTTTCTTTTTGGTAGTAGTAGTGATTGAACCCAGTGTCTTCACACTGAGCTACATCCTTCACTCTTTTTTTATTATTTTAATTTGAGATCTCACTAAGGGCCTCACTAAGTTGCTAGACTGGTCTTGAATTTGAAATCCACCTGACTCAGTCTCCCAGAGTGCTGAGATTACAAGCATGCACCACCTGACCAGTAAAATCTTTTAAATTGTGGAGAACCACTAAAGGATTAAATAGAACATATACTTGATTAAATATGTGTTTTTATAGAGAGCTGTAGCTGTAGTACAGTGGTGGAACATGTGTGGAGCCCTGAGTTCAGTCGCCAGCACTTCCCCAAAAGTAATATAAGGAAAGAAGTATTGTTTTCTTGTGATTATTTTTGCAGTGGTTTAGCTGACAGATAATTTAAGTATCTAAAAAAGGCTGAGGGGAATATATGTGATGATATTTAGGAGAGGACATGCACAGGGCTTGGTGATTAGTTTTGGAGGTTGAGGAAAAGAGTAAATATTAGGAACACCTATCTGACTTGGTTAATTAGGTGAGTGGGAAGAAAGTTTATGGAAATAGTGTAGAAGGAAGAGCAAGTATATTCCATTTGAAATGCCTGACAGACATGTCTAATCCTGAGTTGAATATATATATCAGTATGTAGCACAAGAGAGATTGTTAAGGTAAATAGTAGATGGAGTTGTAGGGAAGTAGTTTAAATCACCTAAAAGTGTAAAGTAAGAAGCTAGAAGCAAGAATATGGAGTGCAAGGTAAAGTGTAGATGGTAGAAAAGAAAGCAACAAAGGATACTGAGAAGCAAAAGTGGTTACTCCTGGGGGTGGAAGGAAAGAAATATAAGGACAGTTTAAAAAAAAGGCCTTTAGACTTATCTCAAATGCTTATGTTTTTAGTTTTTCAAGAAGAATGTATTTATAAAAGTATAAAAAATTAAGCATCCAATTGAGTTTGATGGTTACAATGTTGATTCTGTGAATAGTTCAGTGAAATGGTAGAAGAAGAAGCTAGATAATAGGTGGGTCTCACTGGCAATAAGAATCTTTCATTGAAGTGGTTTACTTATTTTGTTTGTGCCAGAGAAGTCAGTGAGTAGAAGGTAATTTGCTAAGATTTGCTAATTCTAATATTGTAAATAACTTTTATGGTGTCCCCCATTCATTTCATCTAAAGGGATGGGAAGTGGGAAAAAAAATCTGTGCACCTTAAATTTAGAATAATCTGAATATGGATTCCTTCTCACAGGTGTTTACCTCTCCGCTTAAAATCTTTTTAAACGTATTGGGCCCCTACTATATGACTGATACCATTCAATTTAATGTCTATATATTAATTCTTTCTCTTTGTTTCCTGCTGTACATTGTGAGTAAACAGAATATTATTTCTGTATCCTTGAATAAGTATATATTTTGAACATTAGTTTTGCATTAAGTGGGAAATGTTTAAGATTATATGGAGTAAACATATAGAAGCACCTCATCTAGCACTCTGTGAATGCTGCTTTTTACTTATTGACTATATAGTGTTTTACTGCCTGCTGTTACTTTGTCTGTTACATTTAGTGACCATCTTAACCATCTCTTTTTTGTAATAAAATTATTCACATCATGAAATACACTTTGGACTCAACTATAGTTGGTGAAGCAAAACACATGTAAGTGTAAGTAAAAGTTTATCACAGCAGTTTCAAAATCCTACATTTTGAAAAACACATTATCACCATTGGTAGAAAACAAAGTATGAATTTTGTGTACTATACAGTAGTTCTGTATTAGTGACTGAAAATTAAGCTAGAATGTATTTTGGAAGTTTCTACCAGATTTTCTTGTTTGTCACTTGTGTAGCAAATAGGTTTTTAATTATATGTCTGTTTCCTACCATTACTCATGATTGTTAATATCACTAATGCAGCAACTGCATGAATGCACTATTTAGTTAAAACATTTACTGTGTGGAGTGGGAAAAATTTTTTCTGTATGACTTAATCTCTCATTGTTTTTCTTTCCTTGTTTGTAAAAATACTATTCATCTCTGAGGCTGTTGTGAGGATTAAATGAAGTAGTACATATAAAATGCTTAGCACAGTCCTTGGCACATAGTATGCACTCAATAAATATTAGATATTCCTTCTGGTTTTCTTACTATTATTGTGCAACCTGTGGCAGTTACCTCATCTCCCTCAGCTTCACTTTCCTCATGTATAAATATGTACATCATTAGTTTCTGTAGGAATGAATAGTTGAGATTTACTGATTTCAGGGGATCAGCATTACCTGCTATGACTCTTCTAATAAGCATTAGCAACAAGGAAGGGTGATGCTGGAGGTGATACTGCTTACAATGGTATAAAATTCTCAGCTCCATAAATTAGAATGAACAAATTTTCTTTCATTAAATCCCATTGCTTTTATTTTCTAGGCAGTGCTACAACAAGTAGTTGAAGATGGCTCAAAATACGGATTAAAAAGCGAACTTTTCTCTGGTCTTCCCCAGAGGAAGATCATCGTTGAATTCAGGTGAGTACCTACTTGTCTTATGTGTTGATTAATTGAGTTGACAGAGCAGAGTGTTGTACTCTCATCATTAGGGCCTTACTAAATTTTCATCCACTTTCCCTTCCATCTGTCCCCCTTTCCCCTACTTCTTTTGTTTTTTGGGGGGGAGGGGGTTGGTTTTTTTGAGACTGGGTCTTGCTATGTAGTCCAGGCTAGTGTGGAACTCACTATGTAGCCCAGGCTGGCCTTGAACTCCCAGCAGTCCTGCATTAGCATCCCAGTTGCTGGAATCACAGACATGACTACCACACCCAGCCTCTTCATCTCTTGATCCCCTTCACATATGAGAAAGATCTATATCCCTACTTCCTATTATTTATCTTTTATTTTGCTGTTTATAATTTGAGTTTCTCATATAAGAAAAATCATGCATTTTAATAAGAAGAGATCCCACTTGTTGATTGTTTGTGCTAGTTCACGGGCAACTGAGGTTTTGTTCATAAAATCTTTTCCTACACCAATGGCTT